CAGAGATCCACTTCCCCAGAGGTGGTAAAGGTAATTTACGAGGTCAGCCAGTAAAGAAATAATTACAAATTGAGAATGTCTCTCAAATGAGTGCCTTCTCCTCTTATCATTTATTAAACTTTTAGTGAGCCCCTCCCAGGTGCAGGCCTCCCTGCTAGATGTAATTCTCAATCACAGTGCTGAACACTGCTGTCCTGGGTGGCTTCTCGCTCTCCATCAGGACCTGCCCAGGTTTTCAGAGCACACATTTTTATGTTCCCTGCTGAAAAGTTCTGAGGCCCATTGTTGTTGTTTGTTTTAACGTGTCCTAGTAACAGTCTGACCTCTGCTGCTGCTTTGAAGGGATGGAAGACTTGTACTGTGGCTCCCCACTTGAATACATGTGTTTTCATGATGGAGATTTTTCTCCTAGATTTAAAAAAAACGAAAACCACACACACACAAAAAAAAAAACTTGGGGTTTTTTTTGTTTGTTTGTTTTATTTTGATTTTTTCACATTTTGGAATTGAAAACCAAAAACCTTATGTGTACTGAAATTCCTAAAATGGCCTTTGAGGGTTCCCTGCTCTCTATTTCTTGTTTTAAGGTGAGGTGGCCTGGGCCCAGAGCAGTTCAGTCATTTTTCCGAGCTCACACAGCTGGGCGGTGCCAGAGTTGGCCCCTCCAGGGTCCTGACCCTCAGTCCTGATGCCCTTTTCACTGCCACTCTGTGGCAGCAGAAGAGCTGAATTTGCTGCTTTTACTGGATAACTAGAAAGAATATTTAGTTTCAGGTTTTAAAACTGTTAAGATAACTAACATCTGTTTTCGGTTTTCTTGGTGTCCTGTTTTTTTTTTTCTCACAGGGCTTTCAGCAATCGTGAGACCTTCCAGTATAAGACAGAGTACCAAAGGCATTTTTACTGCTGGTAAGAACTTTAGGAAATCCATATGGCAGCAACTGGATTGTGGCTCCGTAGGCGACTGCTGGCCTAGCATGCATAAGACTGCAGACTTGATCCCCAGCACCCTACAGAAAAAGAAAGGAGAGAAAAGCCATAATTCACACACCAGCTGGGTTGAGTGGCCTTAGTGCTCCTGGTTAAAACCAAAATACGACTAACTTTCCCTGAGTATTGGTGAAAGGCTGAACTCTGAGTGTCACACACTGAGATGTTTAGTAACAAAAACAGGCCCAGGAGCAGTGTCATCTGGTAGCCCAAAAAAGCCACACCAGTTGAGGTGCTGTCAAATGTTTCAACAGCTCCTTCCTGGCAGGGCTTCTTTCCTTATGATTTTATATTTATCGCAGTTCCACATACAGAACATTGTAAAACAGCAGTCCCCTGCACTCCCGCCCCTTCTTCCCCCACTTCAGAGATAATTCCAGGTCTCTAGAGTTATTTTTGGTTTTATTACCATTTCTGAGAATAATGAGTTTCTCTTGCTCCTTCAGTGTTTATCTTCAGGTCCAATCTGTTGGTGTCTCACTATGGGGGATCAGAATTCGACTCCTGCATCCACCCTCACCATGCTTATTCTCTGGTTGTCTCCATCCTAAAATACTTGTAATTTCACCAAGTCAGCATTTAGCATTTAACTTTTTTTTCATGGGGGTGGGTACTAGGAATCATACCAAGGAGCTCTTTACCACTGAACCACATCCCCAACCCTTTTTATTTCTTACTTTGAGACAAGGTCTCACTGAGTTGCTTAGGGCATCCTTAAGTCACCCAGGCTGACCTCGACCTCATGATCCTCCTGCCTCAGCCTCCTGAGAGCGGGGATTACAGATGTGCCCCACCACACCCAGCTGGCATTTAACATTGTTATGAGCCACATGATATCTTTTCCTCCCCTGCAGTGGAGAGTGTCTCCACCTGTCCTTTTGTCTTTTGTGGGAATTCACTGTCACTGTGTCTTTCGCTTTATTAGTGTACGTACCCATTTTGATGAAGTGAAGCACATGATCCAGTGATTTCCTGAGAAAGGGTGCGTAGGATACAAAGTTGGGGGCTATGCATGGCTGAAAATTTCTTTATCTACCCTCATACACAATTAATACTTAAGTTGGATATCAATTAAAAATCATCTCTCTTTAGAATTAGAAATTCTAGTCTTTAGAATTCTGAGATCATTGCTGCCATATGTTCTCACTGCGAGATGCTGTTGAAGTGCAAAGCCATTGATTCTTAATCCTTGACGCAGGCATGTTCTTTCTGGAAGACCATTAGGTCTTCATTTTTTTCCCAAGGCTTTTAAATCTCTCAGTGATGTGCTTTGATATAACTCTGTTTTTGTCTGTTTTATTGGGTAATCATTGTCCTTTCAGTTTAGAAACTTCAGAATATAAGAATACAAGAAAAAATTCTTTGAATCTTTCTATGATTTCCTCCCATCTGTTTTTATTCTCTTTCTAGAACTCCTTTTCTTCAGATATTGGACTCCCAGACTAGTACTTGAATTTTCTTTTTTGCAGTCGTAGGGATTGAACCCAGGGGCACTCTACCACTGAGCCACATCCCCAGCCCTTTTTATTTATCTTTTTTTTTTTTTTAGAGACAAGGCCTTGCTAAGTTGCTGAGGCTGGCCTGGAATTTGTGGTCCTCCTGCCTCAGCCTCACAAGCTGCTGAGGTCATAGATGTGCATCATTGTGCCCAGCAGAGTTTTCTTTCTTTTGTCTCCTGTGTGTTACCTCTTTGCTTTTTTGCTAATTTCTGGGGAGATTTTCTCAACTTTAGTTTCCAATCTTTCTGTTGAGTTTTTGTTCTGCCTTCTTGTTTGTGTGTGTGATGCTAGGATGGAACCTGGGCCTCCCACATGCCAGACAAACTCCTTACCACTGAGCCACATCCCCAGCCCTGCTCTTACATTTTTCACTTCCAGCTCTTTTTTTACTCTCTGAATGTTCCCTTTTATTATTATTGTTGTTGTGTTTTATTTACATCCTGTTCTTGTGTTATGGCCTTAAAAATTTGAACATATCCTTAGATATTGCCATGTTTTCCCTCCAAAGTGACCATATTGATTCATAGTCCCACAAGCACTGTGTGAGAACTTGCTCTTCTCCCCATTCTTCCCAACAAACGATTGGCTTTCCTCCTTCATGTTGATCATCTCTCACGTGCTAGCTACTCTGGATATAGAAGCAAAAACAGCACTGTTCTGCCTTCCAGGAGCTCGAAATCTAGAGAATACAGATGTATTAATAGAAACTGGTAATCTTAGGAGCAAATAGGACTGAAGTAGCCCCAGAAAGAGAGTGATCTTTCCACCTGCACCTGCCCCCTGCATTTGTGATCTCCTGGGCATTGGTGTGGTCTTTCAGTGTCTTCCAGCCCAGCTGCCTGAGGGCCCATTCAACATTTGGGCCTCAGGACATAGCATCGCCCTCCTGAACTTCTAGAAAGATTTGAAGTAAGGATCTTCCTACCACTTGCGGGTACAAAACTTTGCAATTCAAAGTAAGATAATCATTTAATCTATGTTCTTGCTGGTTTATCCTGGCAAGACTACAGGTGAGGTGCTTTTGTTTGCTTGAGTGATTCAGGCTGTTAATTAAGGCTTCGCATGATCGCCACTCCCTTGCCATGATCCTTCTCGAGGCTTGACGATTTGTTTTCTTGATCTTGGCTTTCTATTCTATAAGGAATATTAGAATTATTATTGTTACATTTTTAGTTGTGTTAATAATGTGGTTATGGGGTTTTTAAAGACCATTTTCTTCCAGAGATAACATACTAAAATATCTGTGGATGAAATATCACAGTGCCTGGCACTGGCCTCAAAATAAAGCATGATAAAGAGAAGTGAATAAGGAGTGAATGACACAAGATTAGTCTTGAGCCGATATGTTGTTATAGCGAGTGGGGAAATGTGGAGATCTGTCATACTATTCTGTGTGGTGTTTTTTGTTTGGAGTTTTTTGTTTCTTGGTGTATTTGTTTGGTACTGGGGATTGAACCCAGGAATGCTTACCCACTGAGCCACATCCCCAGCCCTTTTTATTTTTTTATTTTGAGACAGGGTCTTACTAAGTTGCTGAGGCTAGCCTCATACTTGAAATCCTCCTGCCTCAGCTTCCTGAGTTGCTGAGGTTACAGGCATGTGCCACCATTACAGGCTCTGGGTTTTTTTTTTTTCCAATAAGCGTGATTTTTTTTCTCTAATAAAAGATTTTAAAAGTGCCATCATCATCATGATCTCTTATACCTCCAGCCTGGAATGAGACTGATCCAGCCTCTTTTGCTTATTCTTTCTCATTGCCAGCAGGGGGCAGTGGATTGCAGAGCCTGCAGCCCAGGTGTCCCGGGGGTGTGGACGCTGCTTCCCCTGAGCACTTATTTGCTTCTCTTTCACTTCTAAGGATGCCACATTGCACCATGGAAGTAGAGCAACAGAGAGTATGTAACCTGGCTCTGAGGCTGCAGAAACTGGAGAATGGCGAGCACCTCTTCAAATTCTGTGGGTTTCCCTACGTAGTACTGTGGTTTCTGTTTATGGCAGTCATGGGCTATGATGAGGTGCTGAGTGCAATGCCAGGGACAGGGACTTGTGAACCCTGGAGACTAGCGTTCACATCTTGACTTCTGTGACTTGAACCACTTGCTTAGTTTTTCTGATTTCTAATTTCACAGAAATAATTATGCCTGTCTTACTAGGTTGTGAAAATCTTAAGACGTTAAGGTAGTCCCCATCTTCCTTCCCTCGCAAGCCTCTACCCCTACAGGGGTAGAAAGGAAGATTTCCTCTTAGCTAGAATTCCACTAAGCCTGGGGAGACAGCTAACCAAAGGGGCTAAGCTTGGGGTTAGAAGACGTTAGTTTGAGGTTCTATTTTTTCGTTTCTTCATTGTTTAACCTTGGTATGTTAATGATCCTGTCTCCCATGAAACAGGGATACCAATACCCAACTCACAGGGAATTCCGAGGCCTAAAAAGGCATCTAGGATGCTATATAAATGTCACTCTTCCTAGAAAGAAATGGAAATCAGGTATCTGTAACCAGCTCAGAGGATTATGCATCTAGTATATTCTGTTAGAGGACATGGTAGTGTATTCTCATATAGCTTGACACTCTCTCATAGTTCTTTTAAAATTTCCTGAACATTGGATACACCTATGTTCCAGTGTGAGAACAGAAATGCTTCCAAAGCTAAGCACTATTGTTTTTTCCCCCTCTTTTTCCTGGGAGTTTCTTGTTTAGAAAATAATATCAACTTCTCCTAGACCAGGCTGTTAGTAGACTAGTGTCTTTCTCATCAAGGTCACAGGTCAGCAGCTGAAGCCAGCCAGCTCAATACTATAAAAGACTGTGGCCTCCTCATACCTGCCTCTCTGCCTGTCATGGTGGCAGCAGATGGTGTCACTTCTCAAGTTGGTGATGAAAAAATACAGGAAGAGAGGGAGAGGAGGGGTCAGACCCAACTCAGGTTCTGGCTTGGACGGTAGAGGCTGCTCTCTGAGCTGGAGGAGGCGCTGAGCCTGATTCTCAAAGTCTTGCTTTGTTTTCCATCTGGCTTTGGACAGTCAGACTAACTTCTGGGTCAGATACCTCTTTACCACTTCAGCTTCAAAAGACTCAAGTGAATTAACAAGGCAGGTTTGGTCTTGTTCCTGAAGAGATTCTGGAATGCCTCAGTTGATCCTCTCCAGCCCTTTCCTGAAACACAATAGAATGTCACCATTTCCTCTCTGATTTCTTAAAACTAAAGTGTTTCTCCCAATTGTTTTTTACTTCAAATTTAAACAAAAACGTGAAAATTTTTTCTTGCAATGCTTTTTTTTTTTTTCAGTACTATATGTTGAACCTTGACATTCTCTCCACTGAGCTACACCCCTCACCCTTTTGATCTTATTTTGAGACAGGGTCTTGCTAAGTTGCCAAGACTGGCCTGGAACTTGTAACACCTCTGCCTCACACTCCCAGGCACTGGGGTTATAGGTGCACACCACTCACTATGCCGTGCTGAAAGTTCTTAGAAAAAGTTGTACTTTTGCCTCAGGAGAAATTTTCTTTATAGGTATGTCTGGCTATGGTTGGAAATTAATGGGAAGAGTGTAAGGGGCTTCCTGATTTGCTCCCTAAAAAATCTAAATATAGAATTATAGGAATATAGAGACCAGTCATCCTAGTCATATCTCTGGCTCATAGTGTTTTCTGGAAATTTTGTCTGTCAGGGACCCTTCCACTTAAGGTCACACAGAGGCCTTCCATGTTCATTAACTTTGCTGCAGGTCACTGAAGTAGGCTGGACCTCAGCATAAGAGATGCCTCAGGAACCCTATGTTGATGGAAATTTCTGTGTTCTTCCCGGGCAAAACTTCCTTCTGCAGCACTAATCCATATCGTAATGACTAGCCTGAGCATCTCACTGCAGAGGATGGATGCTTCTAAGGGGACATTGCACCATTTTGAGCAAGGAGCAGAAGACAGAGCCAAGTTTCTCTCTCACCAGGCTCTCTTCTCTCAGAGACCATCTAAAAGTGTTCTGGGGAGTCATAGAATTCCTAAATCACTACCCTTTTCTCTAGAAAGAAAGCAGAAACAAAGAACAAGCTTAATGCATGCTCAGTAGGATCCTGTGGATTGTAAGCTCTGTGAGGTCAGAGACCACCCGCCATCCATGCCAACACCCCCAACAGCTTGCCCAGTGTGCACAGCAGCATGAGTGCCCAAAGACTCTCCCACTCCCCCCATAGGCGCTGCTTCCCAAGGCTCCGCACCAGCCTGACTCTCAATGCCATGGTTCTGTTTTGCCCATTCTGGAGCTTTATGAGAATATGTGCTCTTTTGCATCTTCATTTCTCATTAGTCCTCAGAACATCAGGCGCACCACGTGGTTGGGAGCGGCAGGAGTCCATTCATTCCCATTGCAGTCTTCCCAGTACATCCACCCTACTGTTGATGGACACTTGGGTTTGCAGTCTGGGACTATGCCAGATAGTGCAGCTGTGCATGTTTTTGTACTGATCTTCTAGTGAGCATGCGCATATACTCCAGGAGAATTTCTAGGTCTCAGAGCATGTGAAGGTTCAGTGTTAATAAATAACAAATAGTTGTCCAGCTTTACAGTCCCACTAGCAGAGTTCCTGTTGCAGCACCCGCTGGCTAGAACTTGATAGTGTATGTTCTTTCCAGTAAGTAGGTATTGGTACCATCTTGGGGTTTAATTTACATTTTTCTGATGACGAAGGAAGTTGAGCATTGTTTGTTTCTAATATGTATATATATTTTACTTGTAGGAGGACACAATACCTTTATTTATTTATTTTTATGTGGTGCTGAGGTCAAACCCAGTGCCGCATATGAGATAGGCAGGTGCTGTCCCATTGAGCTATAACCCCAGCCCTTGGCATTTTTTGTATGCTTATTTGGATATCCTCTTTTGAGAAATATCTAGCCTAGTCTTTGGCCCATTTTTCTATTGAGTTGTGTGCCTTTTTCTTCCTGAATTTTCTACATAGTCTTGATAAAAGTCCTTTATTTATTTGTTTACTGGTGCTAGAGATTGAACCCAGGGCCTCACATGCCAAATACTTGTTGTACCACCGAGCTACAGCCTACATGTCCTATATATGTTATATAGGTAATCTGAGGATTATTACTTCACCCTATTAATGATAACTTTTGGTGAAAAGAAATTCTTAATTTTGCTTAGTCCGGTTTATCAACTTCGTTCTTTATGGTTAGCAGTTTTTTTTGTGTTTTGTTAGGAAATTTCAGTCTATTTCAAATACAGGGAGTTTAAGTCCAACACTTTTGTTGAAATGAAAACATTAAGGCAGAAAGGGCCCTTTTTCTAGTCTGCTGGGTTTTGACCCTTTGCAAATGTTGGATCCCTTTGCAAATCTGTCTAAAACTCTGAACCCTCTCATAGAAGCACATGTAACACATACATGGCGCACTTCCCTGCAGTTTCAGAGCGTTCAAACTGAGGTCCAAGCTTCCTACGGGCCCCTTTTTAGAGCCCCTAACATTTTACAGAAGAGGTAATTGACCAATAAGCGGGCGTCACGCACCACGCAGCTTGGCCCAGCTGGGCCTAGAACCCAGGTCTCTGGACTTCTGTTCCAGTACTGTTTATAACCCATTTCCCTGCTACAGTCCTTCTGAGAATCTCTGTTTGGCAGAGCCCAGAAGAGAATGTGTTTAGTCGAGGAGGTTTCTGTCCACCAGTAGCAGAAGATGGCTGCATGGTGACGTTCCTCCGCTTTGTGTATTTACCTTAAATGTTTGAACTCCAAGGAGTCTGTGACTAAGCTTCCTGAAGGTGAGCTGGGAATTATCATGGTCTGTGCATCTGCCTCGAGCCGTGACTCAGCGCCCTGGGGTTGCTGCATTGAACTTCGCAGTGTGCAGCTAACTCCCTGCATTCTGCTCCAGTTCCTGGTTAGTTCTGGCTGTAATTTTAAAAAGCGCCTTATGTAATAAGTTACCGGCCTCTGTTCTCAAGTGGGTGAGGTCTACCAGAATGGTTGCTCCAGGGAGAAAATTAAAAAGGGTGGAAGCAGAGAAAGGAGCTGTGAGCTTCTTGTCGGCCTATGTCAGTTCACAAGTAGTCACCCGGTAGATGGGCCAGGCCACAGGAGCCAGAGTTGTTAATGATTTTACCTGTACCTGTGGCTTTCTCCCTGTCACTGCCCACAGTAACTCCTTCAAAGGTTCTCAGTGAGCCAGGTACAGCACCATGTGCCTGTAATCCCAGTGACTTGTGAGGCTAAGCTAGAGGATCGCAAGTTTGAGGCCAGCCTCAAGAACTTAGCAAGACCCTGACTCAAAAAAAAAAAAAAAGAAAAAAAATGGTTTTTTAATTGTTTAAAGAGCTGGAGATGTAATTCAAAAACATGTCAGATTCTAAGCAGACTAGGCAGTATACAGGAGGCAGAGCCAGGTATTTTAAAGAGATCACTCAAACCCCAATACCAGGCATGTCTGGAATGAATCCTGTTACCTTGTCAGCATGCTCACAAGCACAGTGCTGGGGATGTGCATTCCAGACTCACAGCACGGTCATTGTGTACATCTAAAAGTGAAAAAGACTATTGGGTTCTTTGGGCCACACACACCCCGAATGATATCACTCTCCACATGAAGGAAGTCAAGTCCATGGTAACATCCTGGAGTAGGAGCCTATCAGATCTGACAGACAAATAGCATTCCCACTTATTTTATCCCATTTTATGTCTTTGCCCTGAGCGCCCCCCAGAGCAGCTCTTCTGTCTCATCATGTAGTTATGATTAAGTCATCAAGGAGTGCTAGAGGGTCAGCTAGGGGTGCTAGAGGGTCATCTAGGGGTGCTAGAGGGTCACCTATCTGAATAAGATGCATTTGTTCTGACATTTCAAAAGCATTTATGGAGCACCTACTATGTGCTTCAGAGTGTTGTACTATACAATGGGGATACAGAAATTTATCGGACAAGGTCCCCATCCTCAAGGAGCTCACAGTCTAGCCAGAGGGACGGGTGAGTCCTTTGATAGGCACTATACAATGGGGTAAGTGCCACTCGGGAGGTGAGCAAGCACAGGTGCATGAGACCATCTTGGCATTTCTTGGAGTAGGAATCCTCAAGCAAGTATCAAGTCTACTAGGCAGAAAGTGGTGGGAACAGCAGGTAGGCAGCATACACAGGGA